GCATTAGATTGGCGCCCAGGTAGGCTAGGTTTCTTAATTGAATAGTTAGATTTGTACTTACATATGTAATATCTTGTGGATTGTCAGGGGATCTCATGTATAGGCATTCGGACACGGATTCTGAATGGTTAAACGTGTGGTTAGCTATGATTTAGGCTAATGATAGACTTGATTTAGTTATTGTTGGTACTATGATGTTGGGTGGTATCTTGGGAAAGAAAAGTGTGGGTGATCGGATTACGATTAGAAAATAGTATGGAAGAATTTCTCTTGGGTAGGGAATGGTTGATTATCTCTCGTTCATACTTTATGTGCTTGTCAATTATATTGCTTGTTAGTAATGCATGCATGATATAAGTTTTGGGGGAAAAAAGGAAAGAATGTGACTTGTAAATGAAAGATGTTGTCAATTGCATGTGATGAATGTGTTACTTGAATGTACAAGTGTGGTTAGTGTTAATTGTGATTATGATTGTGTTGTGTATTGATGTTAGATCGAATACCATATCGATATATATATATTATTATTATTAGATTGTGTACCACGCAGGTACATATATTATTATTATTATTATTATTATTATTATTATCATTACTATTATTATTTGATCAGATATCGTGTTGGTACATATATTATTATTATTATTATTATTGAATCGGATACCACGCCAGTACTTATTATTACTATTGTTGTTGTTGTTGTTGAATCAGGTACCACACAGTACATATATTATTATTAGATCAGATACCACGCTGATAAATATATTATTATTATTATTGCATCAAGTACCACATCGGTACATTCACCGTTTGTATGTGGGTTCTATGAGAGAACCAAATTTATAATGAGATGGTTGCAGGTTTGTATATGAGAGAACCATGATGAGTTATTATGTTTAGGTATCACTTGTTGGTCCTTGGGTGGCTGGATTGGGTTATTGAAATGTTGGAGTGGCTTTGTGCAGACCGAGAGAGCATGTTAAAAGGGGTAGATGATAATTAGGAAGTCTTATTGGTTCGACTACTGGACGGTGTGATGAATTAGATATGACTGGTGGAGAATGCTAAGTAGAGGTGAAGACTGGAGTCAAGGCTACTTTATAATTATGATTATAATTACATGTATGTGTTTTGCTAAATAGTTGTTTATTGTTCATATTTATGTACAATTGGAGCATTGTAAGGTAAGGAGTTGGCATGAGAGCTTAAGGAGGATTAGGGGGATAGTAAATTGAGTAGTAGAGTTGGTAATGACCTATGTGATAGAGGGGTTAGGCTATGATTTAATGCAAGTGTGGAATGTTGGAGCTCAATATGAAATCCTATTTTCTTGCAAGACCTGTTCGGATAAGGAAAAACTCCAGGGCTTAGATGTTGGAGTTAGCAGCGAAAGAAGGTGGGTGACATGGGTGGGTCCTAATGGTATTGTGTTATTTTCCTATTCTTGATTATGCACATAATATTATGTGGTGAATTTGGATTGATCGATAACGTATACCAGTACGTGTTGTTTGTTCTAATACTATTCTTATTATGCCATTTGACGTAATCTGTTTGCAGAATACAGTAATGTTTCTTATGCTTATTGTAATGACCCGGTTGGTCATTTTTTATTTTTCCATGAAATTTACTGTTTTGCCCTCAAGATATCGACCTGAATCTTCTATAATTGAGTTTGGAAAGTTGGTTTTGGACATTGAGTTTAAAGTTGAGAGTTTGATAAATTTTGAGTTTGAAAGGCTAAGTTGTTGAGAAAGTGGTTTTCGATGTCTTTTGGAGTTTTGAGTGTCGAAATGGAATTGCATCAGTTCTGGAATGTGAAATTTGATCTTTTTCGGTTTCTGATTCGGAGTCTTTTTGAGGATTTGAGGTCCTAAGTTGTAAAATTGTGGAAATTTAGTCTTTGGATTGACTTTGTTCAACATTCAGGGTTCGGATGCTCGAATCGGAATTTTGAGAGTTCTGATGTCGAGGTCTTTGATGGCGATTTGATATAAAACCAATGAGAAATGATTCTGGCTAATGATTTGATATAAAGCCGTTGGGAAATGATTCCAACTAGTGATTTGATATAAAACCGATGGGAAATGGTTTCGACTAGTGATTTAATATAAAGCCGATGGAAAATGGTTTCGGTGAGAGATTTAATACTTGTAATTTGGTGCATTTTGATGCTTATGTGTGACTTGCTTGTTAATTGTGAATAATGTACTTGTTACATGTGATTGATCTACTTGACATTGAGATTGACTTACTTGATTCGTTGGGTTGTTGATTTGTGACTATTGAACTATGAATATTGGGTCTTGTGAGTCATGTATTGTAGAATTGTTAAGTTGGGCTGATTTTTGTGCAAGTAGTAGTTTGAGGAGGTTCGGTTGGAATCTAAGGGCTACTCGATTTCTAGCTAGATGTCTTGTTTATTAGGTTGCTTGTTGAATACCATGTTGTTGGTACTCACCCCTTGCTTCTACACTTGTGTAGGTTCCGAACTCGGACCCGTATGATCTCTTTCTCCTTCTTCTGATTTTGAGGCTTGTCAAGGATTAGAAGAGGTAGTTGTTTGTCACTTCGGTGGGCCCTCTTTTTCCTTTTCGTTATACTTTATTCTATTTGAGAAACAAAGATTGAGACTTGTACTAATTTCTTAAATTCCGCACTTTATGTATCTAGTAGCTTGTACACGTGACAACCAAATTTTGGAAGTTTTAATAGAATGAATAAGTTTTTCGCTTTATCTTATTTTTTCTTTATTGTTTTCCGCATTTCTTTCGTTTTCTTTGGGTTAAGGCTGACTAGTCTTGTGGAAATAGACAAATGTCAGCATGTCCGTTTCTAAGACTTTGACACTTATCTATACAATATAGAGGTGAGGTGAGATTTAGTCAGACAGAACATCAACTAGATCCCTAGTTTGAACATTTGAGGCTCTTCCTTCTTTTATAAGGGGTGACTTAAAGGGAAGCTTTTCTTTTTTTTTAAGTACCAAAAAGATTTAAAATAAAAGAAAGAAGTTTATTTAACAATCATAGAAATATTTTAGAGCTTGAATTAAACTATTTAAGTATTCATACTAATAAATAGAGTTTCTTACAACAAGATCCAAGTAATGTAATGCAAACACACTAACATCTTATTAACTTGAATATACCCTAACCAATATACATAATAAATTACTATCAAGTGTTTATTGTGAACTTAAGGATAATATATTTTGTAAAAATATTTCATTATAAATAATAAGTATAAGAAAAAGTATGATCAATATTTTGCATATATATGTATACATATAAATTCTATTTAAAGAGTTCAAGACTTTTTATTAAAAATTGACTTTAAGTCATTAATTTTATCTTCTTTATTTATATTTCATTCAAAATAATTTTTATAAGATGAAAAGTATTTCATAAATATCTAGGTTGATTATGTAGTAATAAGGATACCTATTACTAACTCATCAATAACCCAATCATCTATATTAACAAAACTAGCAGTAAGATTATAAATTATAATTTGAAATCCATCATTATCCCTAAGAGTGAGTTTCATTCACAGTAGTTTCATATGATTCTGGAGAGTCAAAGATATGTTTAGAAAATAGGTTTATCTTAGGAGACACTAAGAGCATTAAGAATTTTATTTTATCTTAATATAAGAAAACAACTTTATTTTATTATTTTATCTCAAATACTAAATAACAAACTTTTGTAATTTTTAAATCTATATATCAGACATTTATATGTTCTCTTATTAAGAAGTAGCAGTATTACATTATAAGTTTAATAACGAAAAATTATAGTTGAGATGAATTCACATATGTCTTGAATGAACTTCATAAAAATAAATCATTTAGCTATATCAATCATTAATATTAAAAATCAACATGTACAATGACATATTTCTTCTGCTAAAAAGTATTGTGTTTGATAACAAAGAATTCCAAGAATTTAACATGACAAAAATACTAGTAAATTAAGTGTAAAGTCGCATTCTACTATGATGCAAATCGACGAAGAGTTACAATTGAAATAGAATTATTATTGATACTTTCTTGTCCACTTTTAGTTGTCATGAATTCTCTAGTTTTTCTTTTTAGAGTCAAGAACTATGACTAACTTTTATGATGTATATTTCCATCATATTGATATGCAAAAAAAATTGCAATTTATAGTACTTTTCATATAGTTTTTGAATATCTATTTTTTTGTTTAAAATATCAAATTAATGTAATCTAATTTAACTTCAAAAATTAGTGAAATTAATTTTCGAAAAGCGTAACATGACAACTAAAAATGGACGGAGAGAGTAATTTATAGAAAAAAAATATCTTTATATGCAAGAAATTTATATATATAAAAAAGATCATTTAAATATATCGATCAACAACATAAAAAATTAACTTATGCAACGATTCTGCTCAAAAGTATTTTGCTTCATCACAATGACAATATATATTTTGTTCAAATTAGTAATATCGTTTGATGGGTCAAAAATGCTCATTTTGAAGAAACAAATATTTTTGCTGATCTAAAAAGAAAATAGACTAAAAAAGAAAATTCTCCATTAGTAGTTACATAGAAGTAAGAAATGTTAATATGTTCTTCTAATATGGCCTAATGACAGAAAAAAGTGCACTACACTACAGTCTTCTAGTTGAGAGAAAAAAAGACCAAAAAATCTAATTTTTTTAGCATTTTAAAAAAAAAAAATCTCCCTTTTTATATTACTTGTACATTTTTATTTTATTTTTTCTTTTCTGCACATTGAATCTAGCCACCAAAAATAAGTCTGGCTCAGGAATATTATTTTTTTCTTAATTGTATTTTTCTTTTACTTTTGTTCTTGTGATTGTTACTTTTTCCCTCCTTTTTTATCATTGTTCTTTGCAAAAAAAAAAAACTGTCCTCTAAATCTACTATTAAGAAAAGACACCAAAGCAATATGTTCTAAAAAGCAGATTATGAATTTCATACTGAACATATCTTTTCGAATTCTAATAAAAACAAGAGAGAATTATTATTAATCTGAGATTGTGGTAAAATTCATTTTAAAATTTTAAATAAGAATATTACAAGCTCATGCCATGTTTTATCTAAAAGTAACTGGACCCAGAAATTGGGCTTTTTGCTTTTTTTAGAATGATATGGGTATGTTCTTCCGGTAAAAGAAGTGGCCAGAAGGCCCACCATCAGGCAAAAGGGCCAGACCTATTGGGCCTTTAGCAGCTTCTTCTGGAGTCATAGGCCCAGTATTACAAGTAATATCTGTGTTAACAAAGCCAGGACAAATGCAGTTGACACAAATAGAAGAATACTTTTGGGCCACAATTCTTGTGTGTGCATTCATGGCCACTTTTGACACTTTATAAGCTGCAAGATCAATGGGCCAACCTTTTTCTTCTAATACACCCTCTTTGAAGGCACAAAGGAATTCATTCACTATTTCATCCACTTTTTCTGTTGTAAGACTTTTCTCGTCTCTTAAAGCCTTTATGGCCCATTCATTTGATACTAGCTGAAAATGTATTTCAAAAAAAAGTGAGAAACAATAGGATGATCAAGAGACAAGAAATAAAATGGTATTGTGAGTCGAAATTGTTGATGGTGGAGCCAAGATTATCATTAAGGGGTTCAAATTATGAAGAAGTTAAAGGAGATTCAACATTTACTATACAACAACAATATAGATAGTATTATCCTACACACAGTGGGGTGTGGAGAGGGTAGATGACCTTACCACTACCATAGAGGTAGAGAGGTTGTTTCTGATAGACCCGCAGTTCAAGAAAAAACAATACAAAGCAACATAGATGAAGAAATAACTGAAATAAAGAAAGTCATGACAATATACTATAGACAACATGACAATTCATTCTAAATAGTAGTTATTACAGATAAAACGATAATCGAAGTGTATAAGAAATCGGAGATAATATCTGAACTCAAATGATAAACAACTACAAGAGTAATACTATGACCAATAGTATAAAGGAATAAGACGGACAATACTTAACTATCTAACTAACATCCTACCCTAATTTGTGTCCTCCCTAACCTCCTATCTAAGGTCATATCCTTAGTAAAGTTGAAGTTGTGTCATATTTTTTCTAATCAACTCTTGTATCTCCCAAAGGAAAAAAGATTTCTCTCCAATACTTCTTCAACCTACATCTACCACTCTAAAAATATTTATTGTCAACCTCTCGCTCTTTCTCACCGACGTTCATGCATCTCTTTTACACATGTTCAAACCATCTAGGTCTCGTTTCTCGCATTTTGTTATCTATTGAGGCGACTCTTATCTGGTCCCGGATATCTTCATTCCTAATTTTATCTCTCCTATTATGCGCACGCAAACATTTCATCATCCTCATCTCCACAACTTTCATATTCTAGATTTAGGAATTTTTTACTAACCAACAATCTGCTCTATACTGAATAGCCGGTCTAACCACCGCTCTATATAACTAACTTCTAAGTTTTGGTGGCACCTTCTTATCAAACAGGAATCCAGATGCGAGCCTCCATTTTATCCACCCTACACCTATATGATGTGTCACATCATTGTCAATCTCCCCATTTCATTGGATAATAGACTCAAGATAGTTGAAACTTCCTCTCTTTTGAATGACTTGTGTATCAAGCCTCACTTTAACTCTAACCACATGCATTACATCACTGAACTTGCACTCCAAGTATTTTTTTTTATCATTAAACATCTATTATATATAATAAATAAGTTTAACCATATATAAATAATGATTTTCCACCTAAGGGGATTCAAATGAACTACATCGGCTCTACATAGCTCTGACCCTGACTTTTATAGAGGCAATTTGGATTAATGCAGTGTTTTAAAAGGGGGGCACGAGGCGAGGCAAGAAGTTTTATGCAGTATAAAGCAAGGAATAAGCCTAAAACATAAAGCGTAAGTCTTATGAATTTATAGGATAAATCTTATCTATCTTCAGTTTTATAATTTTATTACTAAAAAGTCTCATATGTCTTCAATAGAACTTTTAAACAAAATATCAATGTTAGCAAGCCGTTATTAGTAAATGAGAAAAAATAAAAATCTTACCTTTATCTTTCCAAGCAAAGAAGAAACATTAACAATCCTTGGTAAAGGAGATAAGAGGAGTAGTGGAATAAAGGCATCAACCATTGTTTTTGCTCCATAATAGTTAGTTCTTATACATTCTTCTGCCCATTCAAAATTCTCTATCAGTTTTCCATTTGACTTTATTGGTGGAAGTTCATTCTCCTGCAATGGTATATTTCAGAATTAATCATAACAAAATATGTTAATACAAAAATTCAAGAGTATATTTTATCACACAATTGTATTGTTTTTGGGATTGTATATTTTTCACACAAATAGATCATTATTACTTTTTTTGGGATGTAAATAACACTTTTGATCCCTCAATTATGAATAAATTTTAATTTTAGTCCTTACAATTATTGATTATGCACAATTAACCTTCAATTTCTCGAAACTTTATAAAAAAAATTTATCTCTCTGCTAGTAAATATTTATCAAAGCACTATATAACATTATTGGTCAATCTTAAATAAATGTTTTTCCATAAAATATAGGGAAAAAGGATAAATATACCCTCGAACGATCGTAAATGGTATGCAGATACCCTTCGTTATATTTTTGGGACATTGGTGCCCCTGTCGTCCAAAAACTACAGCATATATGCTCTTCACTCTAACGGAAGACTAAATAGGGACACGTGGCGCAATCTTATCCGTCGATCCAATATTTAATAAATATCGGATCAGTGGATAAGATTATGACACGTGTATATCCGTTAGTATAAAGGGTATACATGCGCTAGTTTTTGGACGGCAGGGACACCAATGTCCCAAAATATAACGAAGGGTATCTACATACCATTTACGATAGTTCGGGGTATATTTGTCATTTTTCCCTAAAATATATAATTAAAAAAAATAGTAACCTCAGTTGTGTCACTGGAACCTCGAAAAGCTTCTCGTTCTATCACCTCTGGAAGGATTGAAACATCTCCCTCTACCATTAATCCATTAACTCCTGCATTATTTACCTGCAAATTATCCATTTTAACATTTTTTTATTATGGAAAAATGAAAATAAACTGAGTATTAAGTAATAAATTTGCAAATCATGATACAAATAATTTTGAGAGAGATTATATTTAGTTCCTAAAATTAATTAACCAACACATAGGAGTAACCCTTTCAATTACTTAGGGTCATTTGACAAGTGATTAGCGTTATGCATGTATTAGTAATATAAAAATTAATTATGAAGAAATTTTTGTATTTTTTATGCAGTGTTTAGTTAGACATGCATAAGTTATTTCATCTTTTTCTATTTTCTACATTAAGAAAAATACATAAATTTTCTTATAACTTTATATTAATTACACGAGTTTAATACATTAAGGGATCATTTGGTAGAGTGTATTAGGAAAAATTATGCACAGTGTATTAAAGAATGCAGACTAAATTGTCATGATAACATTATGTTGAGACTAATTTATTGCACCGGGGAGATGGATAAAATAATTCCAAATTGGATGGGATCGATAAGGTGGGATATCTAAAATTGAGTTTAGGATTAAATTTATACTATATTTGAGATAAACTTACAGCGTCAAGCAAACATAATATATAAATTTATTCCCAAACATAATCATTAGATATCTCATCTTATCCTATATATATATCAAACGACTTCGAATAACTTACCTTTGAACCAATTACAAACTACCCTAATGTTATCTTATATGAGAGTTAAATTACAGTAAACTTGTCTAGTGTGTAAAAATTAGAAGAAGTCACTATTCTATATTTTTCCTTTTAAGAGTTTAGTAACCACTACTACTTTCTTAACCTACTAAGTACTAACCATCAAATGTGGTGTAGTGGAGACAATAGTTTCTTTCTTAATTAAAATTTTTGAATTCGAGTGCTAAGTATGATAAAATTCTTGATAAGAGGTGTTTCCCTCAAATAGGACCCTAACGCAAATTTAAATTAATCAAACTCTAATATAGATATCAAATACTGAACAAGAAACCAAAAGTATAATAAATCTCAATCATGTCTTAGGTGTCAATACTAAAAAGAAGTTATGGACCATTTTGGTCAACTTTCTAGCCAAATTTTAGGTAGCCTTTGGCCCTGAATTATTTTTTTAAGAGATGAACTTTGAAAAATATATTTGATCATAAAATTTCGAAAATTTGAAATTTTTAAAAATTTTAAAAACAGCAAAACGTTATTTTCACTTCAAATTACTCAAAACAACTTTAATCTTTTTCATAATCATACTTGCTAATTTTCAACTAAAAATAAATTATTTTTGAAAATTTTCATAACAAAACATGTTGAATGCCCCCATACAATACATTTGACACTGGTTATATGGCCTTTTTTTTTCATCACAAAAAAGTGAATTCAACAAAATAGAGATAACATTTGTTTACATATTATTCTTCTCAAATTCACTTCAGAAATTATACTATTGTTATTGTTATTTAACAGAGTGGATTTACAATTTATGAACTCAAAATATAAAATTTAGGTAGTTTTTATTATTTTTTTATTTTTGTGCGTGTGGAATAAGAAAAGTGTCAGACAATGAGAGTTCCAAAAGGTAGAATAGTCCAACTTGACAAGCTACGAAAATTGGTCCAATAATAAGATCACAAATCCTTTCTCTCCTCTATTCTTTTTGACTTATTTTTATCATAGAAATATTTTAATTATTACTTTTAAAAGTAAAAGTATTTTTTTACATATTTTATTCATAACATTAGTTATTTATTTTTTAAGATATCATATTTAATCGCAATTGATAAGGACAGTATGATAAAATAATCATGCCAATCATTATTATTATTAAGTAAGAAATATTTAAAAAAAATTAATTTAGCGTGAATTATTAATTTCATCTTTGAACTATTGACGACTTTAAAAATACCCACTAATTACAAATTTAATTATAAAATATATCATCTTATTTTGCATATCAAACAACTCCTAATAATTTATCTCTTAATCAATTATCATGCTATCATAATATTGTCTCATATAAGAGTTAAATCAAAGTAAACTTGTTTGCGTGTATATATAATAATTAGAAATATCAACTTTACTTTTTTAGAGTTTTAATAACCACATACTATCTTAACATACGATTAGTGTGACATTTTAATATTTATTAAAATATATCATATATCACATTATGTATCATGTTATGTTTATTGATGGACATTATATTTGTACCTCACTATTCTAATCAATTGTATAAGAATGTGGTCATTAGTTGTTGTAACTCTTGTAACCATCAACTATTTATTTTCACTCATTATTCTGCCTCTTTATTCTTGTAACTTATAGACTATTCACTTATTGAATTTACTATTCATTATCTTCATATTAATTGAAAGAAAGAATTCATCACCTAAAAATAGTGGTCTTTCTTTGGGTTGAAAAGATGAAGAGATAAATTATATGTGAAAGTATCTCAAGAAAAACGAAAAGTATGAAATAATATTATAATGTGTAGTGGTGAAAGAAAAGAGTTGAGACTGTTTACATCTATTTATAAGAGTTTCAAGAAATATTTTAAAATGTGAATTAGTAAAATTTATTTTTTTATTTATAATTTTTTAATATAGATATAAAAAAAAAAATCAATTAATACTGAATAAGAATTAAAGTGTCAGACAATGATACACATAACAAAAGTATTCCACTTCCCACGACTCCGCTGCTTGTTCGTGGGAGAGTTCCAACTAAATTAAATTTTGAATTGAAGTTTTAAACTTTAAGACTTTTTAATTATCTAAAAGAGAAACTAATTAAATATTCATAAATATTTCATTGTTAATCTAATTATTATTACATTAATTAGTGATAACGATAAAAATCATAAATTTTAAATTCAGAATCCATTTTTGAGTAAATATAAATATATTATATTTTTTTATTCATAATGAGACTTGTATTAAACCATATTAATTCATCTTTAAAAATTCATTCAATTTGAAGCTAAAGGTGTTACATAAAATGAAACAGACATAATACTTTGTAATTTGAATTGATTTATTTTAAGTACAGTTAAGTCAAATAACTTCTAAACAGTTTTAAAATCTTTGAATAAATTTAAAAAGTGTTTATAAGTATTTAATTTTAAGCTAAAATAATAAAAATAAATCATAAATCATAAGTCAAAATTCTTAACTTGTGATTTTTCACATATAAGTCAAAAGTCAAAAATTAATCCAAACCAGCTCTTAATTATTTACTCATAAAGATAGGAAAGGAAAGTATGAAATTAGTTGTTATCCTTCATGAGGTTGTATATGGAAATATTTCTTCTTTCTATTTTGACTTAGGCATGAAATTTTAAAAAGCTAGTATGTCAAAACGTATCAAAATAACCTTTAATCTTTAAAGTAAAACATAAATAAAAATTATTAAAAAAGGCAAGAATATTTTTGTTTTCTATATTTAGATTGAAAAAACAAAGGGAGTAATAGATAATTTACCAGAATATCAAGTCTTCCATAATTAGATTTGATGAAGTTGACCAAAGAGGAAACACTTTGTGGATCCACAACATCAACTTGATGAAACACAACAAGAGAAGATTGCAGTTTTTCAACAGCTTCTACTCCTCTTTTTTCATCTCTAGCTGTTAAAACAACCATAACTCCTTTTTCCATTAGTTGTTTACAGATCTCATACCCTATGCCTTTGTTTCCACCAGTAACTACTGCAATTAAATCCCTAAAAAGAGATAAAAAATTACATATTAATTACTCAAAACAAAAGACATATTAAATTATTTGGAGAAAAATTAAAGAAGAAGACTTGCTTTCTTATTCCATCTTCTGCCATTTTTTTTTTCCTCTTGTTCTCTACAATTCTTTGTTCACTTTGTAGAGCAGCAAGGTAGGTATGTATATATAGTACTCCTATTAGTTTTATTGGAGTCCGTGTCACCGTCTGTTTTAATTTATGTGATACGAATGAATTTTTAAAGTCAATTAAATTTGTGTTGGATTGTAATATTTTAAAAAGTTTTTAAATTGGTTATTTATAATGATTTGTAATACTATTTTACATAATTTGCTACTCCTTCTCTCCCTATTTACTTGTTTAATTTTTACTTGGTCCACTTATTAAGAAAATAAAAATTAACATAGTGAGTTTATTATTTTACCCCTATTAATTGATAGAATTTTAAAATCAATTTACTCATTAAAGAAGTTCTATTTTTTTCAAAAATATTACATCTCTAAATAAATTGAGGCTATAATAGAAAAAAAAATATTGTTTTTTTCTTGATTTGTCAATAAATAAAAAAGGACAGATGGAGAACCATACATAAATTTATTGGAAATGCCCTTTTAGTTATTGAAAATGTATTTACTTTCAATTTATGTCATATATGATTTGAAGAAGTAATAATTTTTTTCATTATAAATTTTTTAAATAAATTTTTTTATTGTTAATTAAAAATTTATAGTATTTTTTATTTATTCTTTTAAAGTATATAAATTATTGAAATTTTCTTTTAATAATTTAAAATATCAAAAGTTACCGTAAGGATCGGAGTAATTTATTTTATTGATTACAAACACATTTAATTAGTTTGACCATAAAGTTACAATTAGTCATGTTACCCAGCTATACTTGTTTCTTAGGATACAATTTCTTATTAGACATAAAATTTAATCAACGTTTCTTTATCTATTTAGATTTGGTTTGTCATTGCTGCCAGAAATGATTTATTTTTAAAAATAGTTTTTTAGAAAAACACTTTTAAAAAAGAATGATTAGTATTTTTTCATTTCAATTTATTTATCTTATTTTCTTTTTTAGTTTATTTTAAAAAATGTCTATATCTTTTGGCAATTTTTTTACTTTTAGTTTTCCACATAACATGTATAAGACAATAAAATTAAAAAATATTTTAATATATTTAATATATCTTTAATTTAAGCTGATAAAATTTATTTGTTTTCACTTCTTTTTTTTAATTTTGTATCAATTCAAATAATAATAAAAAAAACCTCCAACCTCTGGCAAAGGTCTCGTCTACTTTATAGAATAATGCCAGGAAACACACATATCGACGAAAACCTGTGTGCTTCTAGAGCATCTTTTACTAATAATAATAAATAGCGGATACAGGTCAAATCTATTATTGTATTATCAAAAACAATTTAAATATACTTTTCTTATTTTTTAGAGACGTCTCAATAAAATTAGGAGGCTAAATTAAAATTATAAAAAGAGATCTTAATTTATTTTTTTAAAATAAAAATAAAATTGTGATATACATTTTTTTAAACGTATACTTTTCTAATTATAATGTGAAGTCATTAATTATTAATAGTATTATTATTTTATAATTGACTTTTTCTAATCCCTTTCAAGGAAAAATCATTATATTTATAACTTATGAAATCAATCACGAAAATTTTCAATGAAAAAATATAATATAAAGTTAAAATAATAAAATTTGATTTAAAAATTTGATTATAATAATATCGAAATAGTGTTGGGCTGCTTCAATATAAAAATAATAATAATAATAATAAAATAATAATAATAATAATAATAATAATAATAATAATAATAATAATAATAATAATATAACAATAATTGCTTGTTACAATGATTGAAATCTTAAAGCAGATATCAAAAGAAAAAAATTAATTATTTTCTTATAAACAGACAACAATAGATTTTGCAAAATGCTACAGAATATTTGATTAATGGAGAGACTTCAAATTATTCAATAATAATAATAGAATAAACATAGTAAAAGAAAGAATGAAAAAGTATACATATGAGTATTAGTAGGTACGGTAGAAAGAAAGAATACTAATTACCTGAAAAGCTATTCATATCACAATTATTTTATATTAATATTAAGGGAAAAAATATCAAGTCTGTAAATACTTCAAAAGCATTTTAAAGAATTCAACTGATGCACAAGCAACAAAAAATTACTTCTATTGATATTATTAAAAGAATATCATATTGACATAGGAGATTGTTACAAATAAAAGAAAGAGTAAGGCGATTAATGCATGCATTAAAATTACTAGGTCACTAATACCTACAAATTCATAGTATTAATATATACACATTTTAATTTAATAGACAATAGTGTGTATACCAAATACAAGCATTAGTTATACATAGATTGAAAAAGAGTATTAAATAAGATACTAATAATATACAAAAAATATACGTGTCTTATTTTTTCTAATACACTTTATCAAACGATTCCTAAGAGATGTCACATCAACTCTTTTATCCTCAAGATCAATTATATGAATTTCACATAGATTAGATAATAAGTTGGTAGGTTAATTATTAGTTTGTGTTAGTGGATATTGTAAAATATTGAATATTACATTAAAAAAAATTAAAATTTGAGTTGTGTTTATTATATTGTCCTTAAAAATATTTCATCAATTAAAGTGTATCCTTCAAAATTCAACAAAAATTTTTAATACTTCCATTGTCTTTAATTGCTTATCCATTTTTTCTTTTTTAGTTGTCTCTAATTACTTGTCTATTTTGACAAATCAAGAAAGGACAATTTTTTTACCTATTATACCCTCAATTAATTACTTTGAAAAGGTAGAACTTCTTGAAAATCTTAAGTTTTTAATGCATCTACTTCATAATTAATAGGGGTAAAATGGTAAACTCGATATGTCAATCATTGTTTTCTTAATAGGTGTGTCAATTCAAAAGTCGACAAGTAATTAGGGACAGATGGAGTATTAAAGTAGGAACCAGAAACTAATAAATATTTATCTTTTTATAAAATTCCACAACAAGCTCTTTTTAGTCAGAGGCGTATCTAGAGGGGTTTCGTGGGTTCACATGAACCCATGCTCTCCTCTCTAGATTATATATAGTAGTGTTATATTTTTTAAAAAAAATATTTAAATATAGAGGTGTGAACCCACGTTAAAAGTAACATATAATAATACGATGAAGATTGGTGCACCTCTTTAAGCAAATATAGAAATTTAAATCTTATATTTATCTTATTTTTGTTATTAACACCCCTCCAAGTGGTTATCAATAGCACTTTTGGCATTTCAATCAATTTTTCTTTTATTTTTTTGCTTTTATCTTTCAAAATTTTCAAATGTGTAACATTGAAAATTCCTAAATAAAATTAGCTTGGTATAATTTTTATATTATTAAATCAGATGTGTCTATTAAAATTTAAAACAAGTAGTATTATATATGTTGGATCTATAATTTTTAAAGTTTAACGGTTAGTGTTAAGAACGTAAAGGTTAAACCGATCAAATTTATATCTTAGATGCATCTTTTCGTAATAATGCATCCATCCTTACAAAATCCTAAAAACGCCTCTGTTTTTAGTAGGCATGGTGAGATATATATGAGGGTCCATTGCATATAACAAGGATACAAGCAAATCATGGTAAGAGATACATCTCTATTTTGGAGTTAATATCCCAAAACAGTCGCTCAATTTTAAGAATTTATCCAATAAAGTCATTAAATTTTATGTTATATCAATAAAATTATTTAATTTAGGTATTTATATCAATAAAACCATCCAACCAAATTTATCATTATATTTTTACAATTTAAGAAGATGTTTTCCTTTTGTGTATCGTTAATTCCAAGTAACTCACTAGAATATGGTGACTATCAAACTATTAAATTATTTATCTAATGTAGGTCATATATCAACATATTCATTTCTCATTAGTACAAATTTAAAGAGAAAGTTAAAGAATAAACATAAACAATCCAAATATATATGTCTTATAGTTGTATCAATTTGTTTTTCTTAATGTCTTCTGACTTGTTAATTTTCTATAATATCATACCTCCACATAAAAAAATAGAAATGATTGAAGAAATAGTATTAACTTTGCAATAGAACCGGTTATAATGACTTTAATATGGTATTACCGAAGAAAGTTAAAGAATAAACATAAACAATCCAAATATATATGTCTTTTAGTTGTATCAATTTGTTTTTCTTAATGTCTTCTGACTTGTTAGTTTTCTATAATATCATACCTCCACATAAAAAAATAGAAATGATTGGAGAAATAGTATTAACTTTGTAATAGAACCGGTTATAATGACTTTAATATGGTATTACCGAATACCGTACCAAATCGAAGTATAATTTACTGTTTAACGGATTACCGAATCGAAATTTTAAAAAATTGATATTTGATATTTACTTTTAACTACCAATTACAAAATTACGGAACCCAAATTTTGAGAAGCCCGAACCGAATACCAAATGCTCACCCCTAAAAATAAGATATAACAAATTGAGATTTGATTGAGGGTTAAGTGTTGATGCCTAGGTTCTGTGCGTTAGTGTAAGCTTCAAGGACACATCTTCAGAAGAAGAAAATATCAATACATCTATTACATGAATGACTTTAACTAGGAAAAAAAATTACTACAATATTAACAGTTCTCAAATGTATTACATGAATGACTTTAACACTTTCTCAAAATATAACGTCTAACTAAGAAAGAATATTACATGAATGATTTAACTAGGAAAAAAGTTGCAGCAATGTTAACACTTTCTCAAGATATACATAATTCCACTAGCCTTAGATGCCCTCCATAATTTTACAATATCTCCTTTCTTGAGATCGTTCTCTTCTACAAGAAAATGCCAACCCTTTCCGATCAAAACTTTGGGGGGGAATTGAGACATACCGAAATTATAAACTTCTAAATCCACATTGTAGGACCCCCCAAGATGATCCTCACATTCACACTCAATCGACTAGCCTTCTAACAAGTTATTTGCTATCCACAAACACATGTCTTCATTTTAATCTCAGGAATTCACTTCACAAGTCATCAGCACT